AAAGAAGGTGTGATGTTGAGAAACATGCATCCAAAAGTCTTTAATAACGATGTTATCTTCTTTGCTTAATAAAGAAGATTTTATTATTTACTTAGCTAGGAAGAGTTTCTTTACAAGATAACCTTGGTGCCTAAGTATTTTCCATAGTGCATATCTCACTAACAACCCTCTCTTTAAATAGAGGATTAGCTTTCTTATTTTCATCATCTCTTTTTCTCAAAGGCATTGTAACCTTAACATATATTGTAGTAAACAAAGAGGGTAAGATGCACTAAAACAAAAAAGCCCTAATGCATCAAGCAACCTAGAAATCAAAATCACGAGAACCATATTAGTTCAAACAGAATAGGACTAAAATATCAAACCACAATCAATCACATGCAATGAAAAATACCAATCAAAAAGCAAATCAAAGTGGCACAGAGATTTACATGGAAAACCCAAATCGGGAAAAAACCATGGGGGGATAAAGTCGAGAACCAATCCACTAAAATATTGAAGTGCTTACAGAGCTTGATCAAAGAGATTATAATGAGCTATAATGATTTGGTGATAAAGGGTTGAAACCCTAGAAAATATCAATCCTAAAAGGGGGAAAAGAAGAAGTCTTCAAAACACTTTCACTCTCTTAAAAATCTAGTGTTCAATTGAGGTTAAAAGCAAAAAGGTTTTAGCAATTTGGCTAATTTAGTCCTTCAAGAATGGAATATTTTCATTTCAGAAACAAGTCCTTTTTAGACTTGAAAACACCCATTTTAGACATGGTGCCCTTTTTAGACGTGAAACGATCATTTTAGACCTGTTGCCCTTTTTAGACCTGAAACACTCATTTTAGAACTGGATTGCTAAAAAGACAATATAGCCCTTGAAGTAGAACTTGTCAATTTTAGAAGAACACACATTTTTGGACCATTGTGAGTATAAACTTCCAATCTTGCTATCTTGTTTATTAGATCTTGTTATTTGGGTTTTTTTGCACTTTTGGTCTATTTTATGGGTGATATTGGAGTTAAGTGGACTCCAATATCTCTTTATGTGTTTAGAATGCTTCTTCAACCTTATGGACTAGGAAAGTTGTGAACTTGTGTCTTCTTTTTTAGCCATGTTAGTTATATTGGCGCTTTAGGTCATTTTGGTGTATTAATGTTTAGATCTTGGAAGATTATGGCATTATTATGGATAAAGTTGGAAATTTTATCCATCTATACATCTTGTTGATTCGGATCTGGAAGTTGGAGACATGGACTTAATGGATTAAGTTGAGAAAGGTTCATTTTGGGTCCCTTTGAGACTTAAAGTCTAGATTTTGGTGGTTTGGACCTTCCTAATGGATAAAGTTAAAAACTTTATATATTAAGACCTTGGAAAGGATCATATCCAAGTTGTGGAGCTCTTGGAATCAGAAGAAACTAGATTAAGCTTGTTTGAGCTGTCCAGACTAGTCCCCATGGTGTGGCCTTAGGCTGCCACGACGTGGCAAATGGGGGATTAACGACGGTCTTGGCATTATTTTCCCACGATGTAGAGGGCTACTGATTGGTAATTTTGACTTTGACTTTGACCGTTAACTTTTTGACCTGTTTGACTCCATGTCAAACCTGAGTAGAATTGAGCATTTGGCTAAGGATTAGTTTCAGTTTGGCTTTAGGAAGCTTGGGTTGGATGTTTTGTTGATGAGGTGGCTGTTGGGCTTCTATTGAATAGTTCAGGTAAGTCTCTTCACTATACTTACGGGTCGAAGGCACAAATGTCGACCCACTACACTATGTTTGTAGGATGATAGTTTTTTTTGTGACACCTGATGATATGACTGTATGTGCATGTTGTCTTTGTTACTCTTGCTGATATGATTGTATGTTTAGTTGTAGGGGTGAAATAGACCCAGCACCTGTTGAAAGATACTGAAGGGGGTGAAATAGATCCAGTACCAATTAAAAGAGACCGAATGGGGTGAAATAGACCCAGTACCGATTGAAAGAGACCAAATGGGTGAAAGAGACCCAATTTAGTTTTGAACTATTATATATGTATGGTATGGGGGAGTTTGGGGGAACGCACTATGCTTTGTGTTTATAGTTTTATGTTTATGGTTTTAGGTACTTCTATTTTCAAATGAAGCCCTGCTTGACCGCATTACATCCCCTTGAGATTATTTCCGCACTAAATGTTTATGAATTACTCTGATATTTTGTGAATACCTTGACCCTGATCGTCTTTTGGAACAATGAATGAATGGTCTTAACTTATTTAAAAGTTAAATTTTTATTCGGAAATTTTGCGACGTTACAAGTTGGTATTAGAGCCTTGGTTTGAGGGATTCGGGCACACTCTCAGGTGTTTTTGAACTCAAACTGAGGATTTCTAAAGTCTTTTAAAAGACAATAATTTTCTAAAAAGATTTCAAAGAAAAAAAGGTTCAATGCATGTAATCAGTCGAGCTCAAGTAAGTTTTCCCAAAATACCCATATATGTGATATGGTTATTATTTTGGTATGAGTATGTGAGAATTTCATGCTAGATTATGACTAAGTATCTAATCAAGATTTGCATAATAGAATGCTAGGAGAGATGCCTTTATATGCTTGTTGATTGAGCTTTTGGAACTGCATATGCTAGTATGGATTTCATATTATTTGATAGAATGGCCTGATTTAAGTGAGGCACTGGTTTAGATTACTTAATGTCCAAATGTTTCTTACTTTGTGCTTTTAAGGACCACCAATAATATCAGCTAATTATTAAGCAAATACGTTAGGTTACATGTTGTGGGGATTAGATAATTTTAGAAGGTTAGGTTTAACTATATTGCGCAAGTCTTGTTTGAGTCCAACCGTTGTAGTATGAGACCTTATATTCGAAGAATTATCTAGTGCATGTGGCATGTAATTATATTTGTGGGGTAGTTAGAAGGTATTAGAGGGCGTCTCTTATGTAGCTGATGGCGGAGAGTTGTGTGAAGGGAACCCTAGGAAAGCCTAGGAAGAATGTTAGAATGTGCTTGTGTGAGTATTTTCGAAAGAAAGATTCTAGAAGGAGAATATAGGAAGATTAGAAATGATGCTAGAAGTTCGTAGCATTGCAGAAGGAAGTTAGTTGGAGGATGCCTTTTTATTTTTTATGGCCTATAGAATATTAATGCCCGGATGTTTCTTGCTTTGTGCTTTGTTGGACCCATATTAATGTGGGCTAACTATTAAATGGATATGTTAAGTTACATGCTGCAAAGGTTAAATAATTAATGCAAAGAGTCCCAAAATATCACTTCTTCCCATTTTACCCTATTTGGCACCAAAACATAATTCAATGGCTTAAGTCATTTAACCAACATCATCAACATCTAATAAGCTCTAAACTTTCTCCCATTGAAGCCCAAGACCTTTAGTCGATCAAATTATGGTCCATAATCCTGAGATAAGAAACATCCTAAACTTTATCCCATGTGAGTATGTTTATTTATTTTTTTATTTTTTGTACCAAGTTGACCCACACCCTCAAAATAGCATGTCATGCATCTTTTATGGTAAAAGTAACGTGGCGGTGAGGTGGCTATTGAAAAGCTGACGTGGCAGCATGACATGTTATGCATCATTCCCTCTAGCCTTATAAATAAGGATGTGTGAAGAAACAAATATTTATATACTCATTTATAACATTAACCAAATACTTTTTTGGTGTGAATTGACATAGAAAAATAATATGGTTATTGGTTTTTCCTACAACAAAATAATGAAAGAGCATCAAAAATAATGGTTCTTTGTTATAAAGAAAACTTGCTTTCTTTTTTTGAACAAAGAGGGAAATATAAACATACATTTTTGTAGAATTATTTGGAAGAGAAAACCAAAAATAATGGTATTTCTTACCAAAAACATAATGAACATAGTAAATCAATATAGATTTGTCCACAATAAAATCAAACATCCATAGACATAAGATATATTGAATTGTTTCTTTTCTTTTCTTTATTTATTTTTTTTACTTTTTCCAGTTTATTGTTATTGTAATGAAAGATATAAGGTTTTGTCACCGTTCCAACAACCTTACTATTAGGTTGTATTTTTTGGACGAAATACTATCTCGCTGTTAGGCTGTATTTTTTGGACGAAATACTTGTTTGTTTTTTGAATCGGCAAATCTAATTTACTCATAAGTTAACAACACATATTACACTTATGTCCACGACGGGACTTGAATCATCGACCTCAAAGAGAGAGGGCACCAACTGATACCGTTAGGCTAAAAGCCCTTTAGTAATACTTGTTTGTTAAGAAGAAACTAATTTAATTCAAAGATGGTGATGTGTATATTGATTGATCGTTACTATTATGATCAGGGGCGGATCCAAAAAATTTCCGAAGAGGGGGCAAAAACAATTTTATAACTTTATTATGGGGGGCAAATTTTTTTGATGAATCAAAATATATAATTTTGAAGGGTTACAATATATATTTTTTTTAAAACTTATTTTTTAATGATTTTTTTTTATTGTGGGAACTCTAGGACCGCCCCAGATTATGATGCTATATTAATTAATAGATTATTCATTATTATTTGTATGTTATATTAGATTTAGTCATTTTTACTCAATATTGTGTAATATTCACTATGCATGTAATTAATTATTGCCCTCACTTGTATTGTGTAATGGTAATGAGTAGATCTAACTATTTTTATGATTGTCTTTTTTTGGTTTTAAGGATGCAATTTTTTTATAAAGATAATGATCTATATAAATCTATCGGGACAAAGTATAATTGTTTGACTTAGATAAGACTTAAGAGTCGTTTTAAATTATATATTCATAGAGCAATTTTCCTCCCTATTTTAAGATTCGTAACCTTTTTGTTCCATGTCTTGACCCATAAGTCCATAACCCCACACCATCATCCACTTTGTTTGTATCAATTGTTGATTGTTTCAATACAAAAACTATTTCAAACATGTACAATCTATTTGAAATACAGTACCAATCGCTTCTTAAAATTGCATTTGTATGACTTTCAACTGCAGCCAGAATGTGCCCAGATAACATCAGCCATTTGTTTGCGATACATCTGACAATGGTCTTCGGTCTTGCCATGTTCAATTTTCAACTCAGCAGTTCCGGTGCAAAAAGTCTCTAACCACATGGCTACAAAAATACCACAGTCCATCCTGTTTGTTTGTTGCGGTATATCTTTGGCAATTAGCACATTTAAATCTACTGTAGTAGACTTCCGACCACTTGTTTCCCAATAATCAATGGACTTTAAGAATTTAGTTATGTCGAAATCTTGTAATCGTTCCTTGATCCATCTTTCATTGATTTCTGAAGACAAGCTATCATAGATGGTCACAGTCCATGTTTTCAACTCTAAAACACCAATCAACCAATGAGTTTTTTCCTTGTTAACGGGCAGTAATACCTGATTTGAACATTAAATTTTGAATCCCAGGTTAATATGATAAACATAAACATAATTAATTTGAAAATATTCTTACCGAATCCACAACAGACCAAGCTTTGTATGGAGGGTACGACCCATTTGCAAGTGCGATCCATTCTTTCTCCCATACGTCATTTGAGTTATCAGTCATAAAATTGGCCGGCATAATTGTACAACTTACGGGTTTCTTGGTATTCAACAATATATGACCCCATATGTCAATATGCTGTTGATGAAAGGCAAAGTTTAATTAATAGTTATCCATTTAATTTTATTTTACAATCTAAAATACCAGATCACTTACGTCGTCATCTAGCCAGCCACGTTCTTGCTTAGGAGTGTTCTCGCATAAAATTTTCTTCCAAAAATTGATGTTCATATGATTTTCTGTATATCCAAGGCTATATGAAAACGAAAGGGCTTTCTTATCTCCTCCATTGTATACATCTGAAAACTTTTTAGTCTTCTGTGCATCTAAACCTACACCGACATGTAGATCATGGTGGGATACATGCTCCTGATTGACCAAGGATCCATCCTAATAACAAAACAATAAAACATAACACGTATTATTAATATTATTGATTATCTATGTCCACATCAGCCCCCTCATTGATAATGGATATATCCTAAATGGCAACATAATAACATATCAATGCTAATGATTACTTAAAAAACTGAAAAACTATTAGACAAATTACCTTATCTCCATACTCTTTTGTGTCTCCCTCATCAGTGGAGTTGTGGGATTCTAGTTCATTGATCACACTTGTGTTGTCCCCATTGTCAGAGAGAGTCATAATTAAGTTAATTGCAAGGAAGTACACAACAGAAAAAATATATTTATTCATATCAAAATGCTTCAAGTTTGTTCAATTTGAAAAGAACCGATTTCAGTATTTAGTCTTAAGCTCCTAACAATTAAAGTGATAATAGTTGTTGTTAGAAACAGATTTAGAATTAGTTAGTTAGCTGATTACTTAGTTATTTTTCAAAAGGGTATTTTCGTCTTTTCCATGAAGAAGTTAGTTAGAACATTGTTAACTCAACTGACTGGAACATGCTCTGTATATATGTTCATGTAATATGTTTCGTTTTCTAACTTAATGAGAAGATTTAGAAAAGGAAACAGATTACATGAACATATATACAAAGCAGATTCCAATCAATTGAGCTAACATTCTTCTAACTAACTTCTTCATAGAAATGACAAAAATGCCCTTATGATAAATAACTAACTAACTGTAAATCTGTTTCTAACAGTTGTTGCCTAAATGACATTAACCCTTTTTGAAAATGAAGAACCAGTATATATGACAACTTTTTGTTTTTATATTTTCTTATATAAGCTGTAGATAAGAAAAGAACTCAAAAGATTTGATGAATGTCATACCTATCCTCTTCTAGCACAGTATTTTTGTCCTTGTCATGTAATTTTGGATCCATCCGAAGTGATGCAGCCACATGTTGTTCATATTAACAATTTGTTAGCATACAATGTTCTATATGTACTTTTAAATATTATAATTTTTGCAAATAAAAAAAACTTACCAATGGTGTCTTTAGGAGAGAACCATGTATGTTCATGTCAGCTTTTTCAATAATCACCTTTTCCAGATCAGGCATGTCATCAGAATGATCCATTTTGTTGACTTTCGCTGCATTCTTTCTTGTAATCTGCCATCACATATGAAGTTACAAATTGTAAAACTTTCAGCAATCAAAAATGTGTGGTTAAACTATTTGGAGCAAAGCACATAATCACCTGATGTAGGTTTTTGAGAAATTCCATTCCATAATTGATCTGTTTGTCCAGGAGGTTGATGATTTGCTGTTTTTGAAGGTCTCCAAGATCATATTTTATGATCATATCAGTTTTTTCATGGATAAGCGGTTGCCTCTCAGAATCATCATCAAAATATGCAACACTGTAGACCTCCACAGAGTTTTTACTTCTGGTAATCTACGCACACATATAAAGTTACAAATTATAAAATATTATATACTAGACATTGTGTTGTTATTTTATTTGGGAGGAATCACATAACTTACCTTGTCTAGGTTTTCGAAAACTTCCTTGCTATCATTGATGTATTTATCAAGGAGGTTGGTGAAAGGCTGTTTTTGAATGCAAATTAGCTTGAAATCTATCATCATATCATATCATATGTAGTTTCAAAAATCGATTTGAGTATTACTTACAATCTCTTTAACGAACTTTGGTGAGCAATCCTTCAAAAAAGAAACCAAGCGCTTTTGATACTCCTGCAAGAAATTATAACATCAACATTGGTGTTTTGTTGGAAATATCTGAGCTACCCTAGGACACAGCAAATTTGGTTCTTTTTGTGTTTACCTGGTAATGGACAGCAGAATCTGAATCTCCTTTTGCATCCCCATTTTGTTTTGCTTTTGTTATATCATCACCCATATATATAACGGAAATAATCGTAGACAATATTAATATGACTGTAATGATCATCTCTCTCTTGTTTACGGGATGTAGGTCCCCATATCCTGTTAAAACAAATCCACAAAATTCATCAAATCAGAATATGTCAAGTGGCATTATTCTATTTATTTCATTTGAATATTATAGCATTAATGTTACAACATTGTACTTCCAATGTTTCCTTTTTCATAATAAGGCATCCTATGTTGGAAAATCTACCTAATTATGACAGTGAAGATTACTTTATAGTTGGATGACACTGTTATAATTTCATATAGATTTTTCAAATTACAATCTTTTAATAGGAAAAAAGGGAAATAGGATGCAATTGTAAACAGAAAATTATTAACTACAAGTACAATGTTATTTCTTGCATTTAACCATATGTCAAACAACAAAACCAAAAGCAAAAGCAAAATGTTTCTGGTTTATCTTGAACTTACCCACTGTGGTCACAGTCATAGCAGCAAAATAAAAGCTTGTGACATAGAGCTTCCAAAAGCCCATGTGTCTAAAATTTTTATAGCTATGCTCTCCCAGTGTCAAACTCCCTATCCAGGTATTTCCTTCTTCGCCAGGTGGCGTAATAATAGCTGAGTAAAAATATGCACACCCACCCATATGAAAGAGGAGGAGGTTTATAGTCAGGCTCTTCATAGCTTTTGAAGAAACAAACCCAACCCTTGACTTTTCCATCCTTGAAAATAGTTCAAAAACTTTGCAGAGACGATACATCCTCCATAACACAAGCCACATCAATACTTTGTTTCTACCAAGAACCTGTTTTTGACATTCAAAATAAACTTGTTTAAGAAATGTAATACTACTGTTTTCCCACAATGTTATGACATGCTTAATTTAAATGGCATATATGGACAGTATCCATAATTAACTAATATCATGTGGCCATTCTTAACTAAAAAAAAAGGGGGTTGTCCATTATTTACCATTTAATGTCGCCTTGGGATCATTCAGTTCTGTAAAATTAATGTATTAAGTGTTTACACATAATGTTTGGACTAGTGAAATTGTGAGTCCTGTATTTTATTTTATGTTGTGTTACTCAAATAACATATTAAGAGAAATGTAGTAATTTCCTTAAGCACTTCTAGTGTTTGGACTAATGACATTTTGAGTCCTATATTTTATTTTATGTTATAAATGTGCTCTCTCCCCAAACCATAACACCACTTCCTACACCTAAAATGGCATAAACCATGGTTCAAATAGTTATTCATCTCCAACACATAACACCATTTATATCAAAAAAAATATTCTAAATATAAAATTTATATTTTTTGTTACATAAATTATATTATTTAATAGAAATAACCAAAAACAGTATTTGTCTTACATCTTTTTGTTCCAATGACTTTAAAATTATTAAAAAGTATTTAACTTTCTAACAATGTTGCAACCATATTTACATTTACAATATAACCATACAATTAAATTAACTAAAAATATACAAACTCGGACTTGAAACTATTAGAATAAATAAACTAGACATGTACAAAATTAAACTTGAATAACTAAAATGTTAGTGGATCGTATGTGAGCCCATGTATAGCTTTATGTATATAAGGCCATATGGCCCATTTTGTATATGTAGATATTGTTGTGTACACTGTACTCATTCATTTTGAGAATGATACCCATTTCAAAAAGTTACACTGCATCATTAGCTCATATGCCATCACTTGCGTACTAAAACTTACTAACCAAGTACAAAATATGACTAAGTAGAGTAAACTTGGCAACAATAAAACACAACAATACATACAAATACAACATGGGCCATACCCACATCAACATGAAACTTTGACAAAATTTTTGGTGCTACTAAATAGTATAACATTAAAAGTATACATGGGCTTGACATAGTATCCACTAGCATAAAATTGCGAACATGAAACTTTGACAAAAATTTTGTTGTTACTAAATAGTATAACATTATCTTTGGTGTTAAATTCTAGATGATCCCAACATACAAAAATATACAAACATTTTCTATTAATGGAACACTTTGTTTTATTTTTCTAGTCTACTAGTTGGTTTATGTTGTCAAATTGTGTAATTTTTGACACAAATGTTTGTTTTACACCATAAAGATAAGGTAAATAATGAAAATAAAAATAAATATAAATAAATAAATAAATCTTCTTCGGGTAATAACTAATATGGCTCTCCTTATGTGGTTCAATTGTTTTTTTTTAATTGGTCATTAAGGTTTGAACTATAAGAATTAATTTGGAATAGTTTTTAGTAGTCTACCAACTAAAGTCCCCTAGCTAAATAATTACTCTTCCATCTCCAAATCACCCTTGATTACTTATTGAATCATAAAATTATGCTTTTCGGTAATTTAATTACGGTTTCCTTCTTTTGTGGACAATTTCTTTTGTACAATGATATTAAAAAAATAAATAAAAATAAAATATTGTATTGTAATCGATCAGAAATAATGGAAGTTATTTTTTTTTTCTTCCTCCTCTCTAGCATCACTATTATGTCAAATATATGCAGAATTCTTAACATAAATATAAACATGAAGATCTTTTGGCATAATATTATCAAATAGGAAAGTTAAAAAAAAAAAAAAAAAAAAAAAAAAATGCATATAAAAACCCTTTCGCCACCACCGTCATAACACCTCCACAGCCACCACCCACCACCACTACCATCTATGCCACACACCCACCACCAAACGCCACAACTACCACTACCTCCACCACCACTGTCACCACCACCACCTCCGCCGCCACTACCGACCGCCATCGCCACCACCTCCCACCACCATCGCCGCCGCTACCACCATCACCACCGTCACCACCACTATCAACACCTCCTCCACTACTACTACTACCACTGCAACCTACACCTCCATCATCACAACAACTACCACCACCAACACGACCGCCTCCACCCCCACCATCACTACCACCACCTCCACCTTCACCATCACAACCCACAATCATCGTCGCCGTCATCACCACATCCGTTTCCGCCACCAACACTACTTACTATTTTTGTAATTTATATATTATACCTTTACATACCAGTTATAAAACAAAATAAAATTAAGTAAAAAAAAACAAGAATGACAATTATTTCATTTTATCATGAAAACTTCAATCAACTTCAGAGAAATACATATTGCTCTCGTTGTTACTAAGTATGGGATTATGTGTATTTTATGGATTGATTAAAAAATGTTAAATATGAAAGCTAGTAAAAGATAGAATAATTTATTTTAAATCGTAAGACCCCTGTGTTATATTTATCCTGATATAAAAATGAAAATTAATCAAGGGCAAAAAACAATAAATAAATAAATAAAGTCACACCGGCTCCTAACATCCATTCAATTATTATTATTTTTTCTTATGCATTTATAGCAAGAAGTTAAGTAAAAATATATAGAATAATAATTTATTTTATCTCAAATTCTCAATTTATATTATACGTATATATCTATATTATTTAGTTATTTTTAAACGTCTTTCACTCCATGGAACTTTCCTTTCACGCCAACATCACTCAGATCCCCCCCCCCCCCCCCCCCCCCCCCTCCCATCGATTCTTCGTCAAAATTCAGTGATTGTCTCGTCGATTCAATTCGCCGGTCGTCCGTCTCCGTCATTCATCATCACCTCCACCTGACACGTCCAAGCCTCCATGTTCTCTCGATCTTTCTCAAACACAGTAATTAAGAGCCCCATTAGATCGATCTTCTTCCTAAAGATAAATTCTTTCCTTCTTGATTCTTAATTACTTCTTAAATGTTGACTTTTTTTTTCCATATTTGGTTCATATTTCTAGATTACAACATAAAGAGTTAACCATTTCATGGTTTTTTCCATTTTAAGTAATTTAATGCTTGTTCCCTTGATATCGTTTATATATAAGTTGTCTAGTTAAATCTGTTTGACTTAACTCTTGGTTAGCTTTGATTTGAAATGAAAACCAACAACATAGTATCATTTTTAGTTATTCCTAGTTATATATTTATGCAAAAAAATAATATAAAGTGTTAAATATCTAATGTTTAATCTGTCCTTCGTACAATTTATGCGTATGTAAAATCTGGATCTTTTAATTAAATTAATTTATATATAGTCACGGAAACCTAAGCAATTAAATTAAATGGTCTTGATTTGTAATAAATTTGGTTATTGCAGAAAGGTGCATTTAATAAGATGCAATCGAATTACAGAGCATGTGGAGAGCATATACGTACATCGTAGATGAAAACCCACGGAATGCATGCGAGGATTTCTAGCCAACAAGACTTCATGTATCTGTAAATGAAATTAGTCAGAAGATAATTCTTAGATTATAGTAATAAGTAATAAAATCAATGTATAAGAGTGGATTATTCATTAACATTAAACATTTGTATAGCAAAATAGACTAATTACCTCGGTATTGTATGGGTCGGGTCATATTTGTAGGACATGTAGAATTGTAGAGTCAAATCAACGAAGAAAATTACTTCAGTAAGATCCAAGAAAGGGAGGAGGTTTTTGGGTAACACATCGCAGAAAGCAAATTCAATCGGAGTGAGCCATGTAGAGAACAAAGCAAAAACTAACATAAACACCTCCCAATACTTAAACCACCTGCATAAACAAATAAATAAATAAATAATATATAAAGGCTTGGTTTAATTAGTTCATTTAATAAGTCGGGAATGCTCTGCTTTGGAATAAAAATCGATAACATTATCAAAAATAAGATTTTTTGAAATACTAACAGAGTTACTACGATGAATATGAAAATAATAAGGTTATTGGTATAAATATTAATATTGATTATATTTTGAGTTTTGACAAATCAAGTTTGACTTTTAAAACAATAGCCAAGGTTATCTTTAATTTTTTTTTTTCTATGGTTCTCAAATGCATTTAAAAAAGTGTATCCTTTATTTTGTATTTTAATAGGAAGTTACAAGAATTCTATAAACACAATTCAAGCTTTGCTTTTAAAATACGTAGTTATAATTAACTAAAGCTCTTGAAAAATATATGAAACATTTAATTTAAATTGACAATCTGGAGCCTTCTAAAATTTGGACATAAAGTATATCTAATGCCAAAAAAAAAAAAAAACAAAAAAAAAAAAGGTAAAAAATTTCAATTATCAAGCACATATTTTTATGTAACTTAAAAATATTAGCTTATAAATTATTGACCAATTATATGTCTATTATATATAAAATTTGTGAAGTTTATATTAGTGGTTAAGTTGTTGTACTTGTTGGTGATTAAGTTCTTGGTTAATGATTTTTGAAAGAGGTTAAAATACAAAAATAATAATAATAAATGAATAAAATACAAGGTACTTTCATCATTTTATTTGTTTAGTTACTAAACTGATATTTCATGGCTAAATCGATAAAGAATGAATGAAAGTATGATTTTATTATTATTATTATTATTATTATTATTATTATTATTATTATTTTGTATTTTGCTTTGCTATCAAAAAAAAAAATCTGATTTTTAAATGGCTGATGGTTTAATCAGTACTGCAAACGGATAATTAAGTGACCAATAAAATGGTGAAAGTACGTACAAGGGTTTTCTATATTTTACCTTTAAACTAAAAAGAAAAACATTAACTTTTTGAACCATCATACTTTTTTAAAATTGCAAATCTACCTTTTCTTTCATAAAAATGCCAAAGAACAGATC